ATCCGGAATTCAAGGGCAGAGTCCGATCCTGTTAAAATTTAATTTTTAATCTTGTTAAATATTAATTCCAGTGCTAAAACTTAATCTTAAGTCTTGTTAAATATTAATTTAAATTATTTTTAATTTTAAATGCTGCTAGATATTAATTTTAAAATAGTTTTGATGCTAAATTTTAATTTCTGATGCTGTGAAATTGAAATTTCAAATCAAAATTTAAGTTTTAATTTTTTAATCCTGTGAAATTTTAACCCAGGGAGGATTTTCCAGTCTAAAAGAGAGGAAAAAAAAAATGGGGCAAATTCATGGAAATTGGGATTTGAGAGTTCAAATGGTGAAGAAATTTGGGGTTAAGGAAGGGGGGGGGATAAAAGATAAAAAAAGGGGGAAAAGGAGAAAAAAAGGAGAAAAAAAGGAGAAAAAAAGGAGAAAAAAGAGGGGAAAACGAGAAAAAGAAGAGGGAAAGAGAGAAAAAAAATGGGGAGAAAAAAGGGAAATTAAGGAATTAAATGTCATTTTTAAAAATAAAATGAGAAAAAATCCAGGAAAGGGTTAAAAAAATCCAGAAAAAAAGGGGAAAAAAAATCTCGGGAAGGGTTAAAAATTAAAGGGGAATATGAGAGGGTTAAAAAAAAGTTGGAAAAGTGGGAAAAATGCAGGAAAAATTTTTAAAAAAAGGGAAAAAAAAGAGAATTTCTCTGGGGCGGCTCCAGTGCGGGAGCTCAAGGGTTAAACTCTGCCCCGGCCACGTCAGCACCGGAAAAGGGAATTAAAGGGGCAAAAAAAGCCCAAAAAATCGGATTTTTTCCAAAAAAATGGGGCCAGAGGGGTGGGGGGAGAAGGAAAAACCTGGGGGAATTAAAATGGCCCAAAATCCCCAAAAATTGCCCCAAAAAAAACAAGATAAGGGGGAAAAAAGGAGGGGAAAAGGGGAAAAAAGGGGGAAAAATAAAGAGAAAAATGGGATTTTTTGGGAAAAGAGAGAAGGGAGAAGTTGGGGGGGATTCCCTGAGAAAAAACAGCCCAAAAATGGGGAAACAACACCCCAAAAAAGCAGGAAAAGAGGGAAAAAAAGAGAGAAAAAAGGAGGGAAAAAAGAGAAAAATCAGATTTGAACGGGGAAAATCAAGCAGGAAAAATGGGGGGGGATTTACCTGCGCCAAAATCCTGAAATTTCACCCCAAAATTCCGGGATTTCTTCGAAATTTGGGATTTTTGAACCGAAATCTGGAAGTTTGCTGGGATTTGACCCCAAATTTGTTTGTTTTTTGTCCAAAATTTGAGATTTTTGCTCCAGAATTTGGGGTTTTTGCTCCAAAAATTGGGATTTTTGCCCAAAAAATTGGGATTTTTGCCCGAATGTTGGGGTTTTTGCCCAAATTTGGGGAGTTTTGCCCCGAGCGTGGCCGGGGCTGCAGCTGGAGCTGCTGACTCAGCGAATTGGGAATTTTCCTTCCCCTCTGGGCAGCGGCCAAGTGATGAAATCGCCTCAAATCCCCCCAAAATTTACATATTTTGGGTGGAAATTGAATTTTTTCTCCTTTTTTCCCTGTCCTTGGGGAGTTGAGGGGGTGAAAATCCCAAAATTTTGGAGTTTTTGAGGATTTTTAGCCAAAAATTCCCCGTTAATTCTAATTTTTGTCAGCCAAAAATCCCCCAAATCGGAAGAAAAATGCAAAATCATTCAAATTTGGGGTGAAAATCCCAAATTTAGGGCAAATTCCATACTAATTCCCATTTTTGTCAGCACAAAATTCCCAAATTCTGGGAAAATCCAAGATAATTCAGATTTTGAGGGAAAAAAATCCCAAATTTTGGGCAAATCCATGCTGAGACCCAAATTTTTTCCTAAAATACCGATTTTTTTCTCCTTTATTTCCAGATTTTCCCGATTTTTTTCTCCAAAATTTCATTTTTTCCCCATTGTTTCCTTTTTTCCCCATTTTTTTGGCTAAAATGCCAAATTTTCCCACTTTTTTCCCCAAAATTCCCATTTTTTCCCTTTTTCCCCATTTTTTCCCCAAAACTCCAATTTTTCTCCCTTTTCTCCTTTTTCCCCTGAAATTCAATTTATCTCCCCATTTTTCCCCAAAATTCCCATTTTTTCCCCAAAATTCCCATTTTCTCCCCAAAACTCAAATTTTTCTCCCATTCCTCCTTTTTCCCCCGAAATTCAATTTATCTCCCCGTTTTTTCCCAAAATTCCCTATTTTCCCCATTTTCCTCCCAAAATGCCCCTTTTACCCCGATTTTCCCAAAAATTCCCCTTTTTTCCCCATTTTCCCCCAATTTTTTCCTTTTTTTTCCAATTTCCCCCATTTTTTCCATTTTTCCCATTATTTCCCGTTTTTCCCCCATTTTTTCTCAGTTTCCCCATTCCTCCCATTTTACACCCGAGATTCCATTTTTTCCTGTTTTCCCCTCTTTTTTCCCCAAAAATTCTAATTTTTCTCCTAGTTTTTCCCCAAATTTCCCTGTTTTCCCCCATTAATTCCCTTTTTTTTTCTTGCGGTTTTTTCCCCCATTTTTACCCCAAAATTCCCCACTTTTGCCCATTTTTTCCCAATTTCCCCCATTTTCCCCCAAAATTCCTTTTTACCCCCATTTTTTCCTGTTTTTGCCCATTTTTTCCCACTTTCCCCCATTTTTTCCCAATTTACCCCATTTTTTCCATTTTTTCCCATTTTTGACCCATGTTTTCCCTGTTTCCTGCTTTCAACCATATTTGCCCATTTTTTCCCATTTTCCCCGTATCCCCCCATTTTTTCCCCCATTTTTCCCCGTTTTCTCCCATTTTTTCCCGTTTCCCCCCATTTTTTCCCTTTTTTCCCCCATTT